TCCCATATATTTGCTATACGGGGACGTGCCGCTGGCCAGGGTATGGTTTTTGGCCTTGCTGTCTTAAACAGGGTATACATTTCAGCCGAAATTGTCTCTACAATTTAGATAAAAAATTGTCTCTACAATTTAGATAAAAGAGACCGATATAATTTTGTTGTTTGTCTTGGACAGGGTAATATTTTCATAACACCGTAGAAATAGTAGAAATACCGTTTCACTGTCCCAGAATTAAGGTGTTATCAAAAACTTCTTATTGTCTTTGATGGATGTCAGTATAATTGCAGTTTTGATGGTTGCGGCGTACATAGCTATTCCTTATTTTTCCGATTTGTCTTGAACAGGGTATTGATTTTTACTTTAATAGTGTCTTAAACAGGGTCAGGGATTTAGACCGCTGGCGGCACGTACCTATCCAAAACGGGGTCGAGTACCCCCCCCGGGAGAACAGCAGAATACGGAATATCTTATGTTGAAATATATTCTTCTTCCATACCCGAAAAGTTATTCCTTTATCATGGATCTGATTCTCGCTACACCAGTGTAGCTCTCAAATGATCTATTATCAAGACAGTGTTTTTTTCAAAATTAAAACAACTGACCGATGTCATTTGTCTTACAGGCGTTTGTTTGACATTATGTCATATTTCTTCTTCTTCTTGAATATCTTGGTTGGGATATGGTCTGGACTTTCTCGTGCTGCAAAAGGTGCAGCTTTAGGCTTGGTATTCCTGTGCCGACTTGATCGCACATCAATGATGACGGGCTATAGGAAATGGGACAGAGGTAAGATGAGACAACAGTAGCATCAAAAATAACAGAGAAAACAGCACTTTTATCTCTATTTGTAGGTTACGTGGCTTACATTGGCTTTCTTAATGTCCTTGTTGCATTCAGACATCCCGTCATGCTTTGCTTCTGCCAGGTTTTGATTGACGATCGGAAAAAAGTGCATTCAGGTAATAAAAATAAGAAAGATAACTTGTAAAGAGAGAAAAAGGAGAAGTCAAGAGGTATAATGATTAGAAAAAATGAAAACATATCATTTGTGTCTGATCATACTCGTCCCCAGTGCAACTCGGTCGTCCCGAGTTGACCGAGTTGCACTGGGGACGAGTATGGTGTCTGATCTATAGGTTTGGCCACAAGGGACAGGCCCCGCAGATCAACAAGAGCTCTCAATCGGTGGTTCTTAGCAGTTTTGCTGAACCGAAACCCAAGTCTTCTGAGATACAGAAAAAGAGATGTGTTTGGATCCAGGAATACATATTCCTCAGCTACAGCTGCAGACACATCAGCAGTTGTTTTAGAAGAATGGGAAATGCCCAGTGAAAAGTTAAAGAGCACTCAGTTTTACTGACACTGATAGAGCAATAGGTTCATATGATAGATTCCTTGATATTCGATACCTCGATAGCTCCAAGCAAAATAATGTTCTATAGTTTATTAACAAGGATTCCACTGATGTTATTTGATGTGTTAGATATAGCAGGAATAATACTGGGGGCAGTCATACGAAGCTCTATCCACCAGATAAATCCTTAGCAGATAAACTACATACAATATCTATGTCTGAATGGATAAGTTTATTCACCCTTTGTACAACCGGCATCAGATGTTTAAGTTATTGAATCAGAAAACTGCACTTTCATAAATTTGATTGCAATTCTATTACATGTGCTGACTTCCTAGTCATTCTTGTACCCAGTTCTTTCTCAGTTTCTCCATGGAAAGTTGAAGTCTCTAGCTGGTTGGAGACAAATGAGTCTTAGATTTGATTGGTTCAAAAACTCCCCATCCATCATATCATATGGTCCAGATTCTGGATCTTCCACTATTGTCTGACTCCATTCAGAGCTTATGAAAACTGAGAAGGATCTGGGTACAAGAATGATTCTTAGTTTGCCTACTAGGCGTTGTTATTTTTAATACTGATGAAGTTCACACTAGTTCCCATTATTTATAGTTGGAACAATTCAGTTCCTGAGGATAAACATACATAAAATAGCTTGTGTCAAAATAAAAACAAACAAAAATGTCAATGAACTTTCAGCTTTTTTTAATTTAAGTCACTGACTTAATACAAATATCTAATGACTTAACTGATTTTAAACAAATATCTAATAACTACTCAGTTGTAATAGTCTACAAATTGTTCATATTTTTTAAGTGCAACAAGTGGATTAGGGGCGTGATCATGGATTAGTCATTTTTTTTATCTCTCTTGTCAATAACTGCCTCCACTTGAAAATAGGTGAATTCATTACTTGCACTGATGAACTTTTATATTTGTGACGTCTTGTTATACAGCAATTTATTTCTTGCAGAATGTTGATTCTTTGTTCTGCATGGTCACAAGATGTGTTGAGCTTCTTGCTATGATCTTACATATGAAGATTTTCATCACTGATTAATGTTGGCATACCAATATTGTCGACAATCTGCTGCAGTGTTGGCAGTCCAGTATATTGCATGGTTTGAACTCTGTGCATACTATTCACTGATAAACAATTCTTTGTTTCTCTGTATTCTATAATTAGTGAGTCTCTCAAGACGCGCCATTGACTGAGCAGGAGCACTCTTTACACGACGTCCAATGTGTTGATTTGTTGTATTTGCTGTTTTATCAGAAAACATTGAAACAGCTGTTGGAAGTTCTTTCTTTTGCTTTAATCTGCCCTATCATAGGAAGATAGGAAATGGATGTTAACTCTTTTATGGAAGGCGGGACAATGCCAAACATGTTTTGTAAGAAGATGCACTTGCACATATTTATCCTAAAATATTTGACTCAAGCTCACTTCAATGGTAACATGATTTTTGATCCTTTGTTGAATGTTCACTGGTGATTGTAGTGCTCCTGATATGATGTTGGTACTAGATAATTGTATTTATTTAGACTTAATTAATGTATGCAACTAAGTTTATTAGTAAAGCATAATAAATTCAGTTGTTTCATTATAAGTGTCTGGAAAAATAGGCATTGCTGTACTGCCAGTAGCCACGTACTATTGAAACCCCTGTATATTGCGGCATTCATCGGAAATCACTGGATATATTGGTCTATGCAAAACACTAGATACACAAAATATCATGTTTAGAATGAGAATGGCTGATGATGAGTCCCTTAAAAAGTTAGAAGTCTCCCGCCTATAAAGGAAGCAATACGATAGGCTATATTTGGGGTGTGTACAAGTCACTAAAACAAAACTTACCTTTTGGTCGTAATCTGCTAAAAATCCCCAATTTTGTTCCCTAAAAGTAAAAGATTTTGAGGAAATGAAATTATTTTTTGTTGACAATAGTTACCATATGTGTTATCCGACTGGACTKAGATTTCAAAAGTTATCATTAAACTCATGTTTATATCAAAATTCAGTCGCAAGCATAAGATCGATATTGCAAGCAAGTAAACCAAAAGTAAACAACAATATTTGCACAACTGAACTATCACAAAGAACATGGAAAAAGGCGAGAAGATTTTAAGCTTACCATTTTCGAACCATTTTAATTTCATTTCTACATTGATTCTTCCATCGTTCATCTTCGCGGACAACATCACATTTAGCATATTCTCTTTGAGAATAAGTTCTTGGGGGAGCTGATTTCRCGCGTTCTTTGAGAGATTTTGGTGTACATTTCTCGTGGTAAAAACTCGACGATGTTCTCCAACTTGCTTCTGGGAAACGGTAACCAGCCGATGTTGAACGAAGCCTGGCGTCCGACGATGACATATTTTTATAGTTTAACCCTTAACGACGACAATTTTAGTAAAACTTTCCCCTGAATTTTAGACTCTAAAGAGAGCAGCTCACCTTCACAAGAGACTTTACTAGTGAATGACAAAGCAAAAGTCATGTGACCTTTGAAGCTTTGCATGATGTTGCGTAGCAACGACAAAACACTGAGGAATACGACTGGTGTTAAATTATGCTAAACACTTCTTTTTCTTAGCCTAATTTATCCAGATATCCTGCAAAATTATTATTATCAAAATAACAGTTTTATAAAGAAAATTGATGTGGATAGTGCGATAAAATTAAAAAGTGGTCGAAAGTTGGGTTTCCTGTGGTAAAGTAAAAGTAAAAGACTGAGCCGAGTTTATTTTGCCGCCATTTTCAAAACTGTGATTATCAACAAGAAAGACATCTAAAAACGATCAAAAACRCTGCAATGGAACAGCTTGAAAGCCCACATAACTTGGTTAACGAAATAATCACAATCTTGGCTAATGTAGAGGACAAGGAAAGTCTTGAAAATAGCAAAAACATTCTGCTAGAGAAACAAAAACTTCAACAACAGCAAGAGTTGTCGGTTAAACATGTCATTGAAAAGTTAACGGCATCCAGCGAAGAAGCCAAGTCCCTTAACGCATCTACCGATGATAAGAATGGAAACGTAGAGAAAATCAGCCAACTCCAAACAGAGCGATCTTCTACTAACGAAAGTATCAAGCAAATAGAGAACGATCTTCGCCATTTGGAGGAAGTTTGCAAGCAGAAAGAAATTGACGAGAAAAATTTGAAGGAGAAAAACCAAGAAATTACCAACAAGAAAGTTGATGTTCTGCCCAAGACCAAGTACTATTTCAGTCTGTTTAGTAACATTTCTCACATTCGCTGGGATTACAACAGCAAGGATGATGAGATCAAGGGGTTTGTAGCCAGTCTAAATGATGTGAAACCATTCTGTTTGGACGTCAAGCAAAGCTCTAAGTACTTTACCGTGAATTACTTGTGGGACCTGATCGATGCTTAGGTAGGATGCAGTTGAAAGAATAGCCTTGTAATGAACTGAAATGATTGATTAGGGTTTACTTAGACATAGATGGATTCAGGGGGAGAGGGGTTAAGGGAGTATGTTAATATGATTCCAGAATGTGATAATACACACAATGCCGAGTGTTTAGTTTAAATCCTGTAAGAAAATATTCAAAACGACGTAAKCTTGTACAGATTGATTTCAATGAACTAAATACATTCAGTAACCCTGGACTTTATACACCCTTTTAATAAGTCCCATGGTATTGTTTTCTCCGCACTTGACGTAAAATTTATTCTTTTGAAACTTTTACAATACAAAAGGAATTCAAAAGAATAAATTTGACGTCAAGTCAGGAGAACGTAATACCTCGGGACTTATTAAAAGGGTGTATAGAGATTATTGTTCGTTATTTTTTCCCATATTTGTTGTTTTATTGATAATTGATGAACTAGAATATTGAAATTTTGCAGTTATTGCTTCACAATGTTTTTAGTACCGAGTTTTTAGAATGTTACTATTATATATTATATTTATATACAGCAAAATGCAGAAATTATGGTCTTTTTGACTCATATTTCAACCATATATAAAATATATCAGAAATGATGGGATATCATTGACAATTAAGATATTTTCCAGTGATGATATCCCATAATKTTTAATATATTTTATATACACTTGGAATATGAGCCAAAACAATCATAATTTCTGCATATTGCTGTTTGTATGATATATTATATGTTGTTACCCATGCTCATGTACCTACTGGCATATAATCTCAGCCTCTTTATGTTAAAAAATTAAAAGCAGACTAGACAGTGTAAAAGTATGTCTACCACGAGTAGGGTAACAAGGTTACTTCCAGGTCAAAACATGTCTAGATGCTGTTTGGTTCTGGTAGTGTGGTCAGGGCTAAACACAAGTTTGGCTTGTGTAAGGGTTATGTTGGTAGCAACATGCATGTTTCCTGACAAGTAGTTTCATGTAAGTTGTTTGTTAAGAGTTGGTGGTCAGGTTGGATGTATATCATGTGTTTAAGTAGGTCTGTATGCTGGCGGTACACATTAGGTGTATGCTAAATGAAACACTTAATGGGTACTTTCTAGGTAGATGCCATGTTTTATGATGGTTGTCCAGTATACAGTATAGACTGGTGTCCAAGTAGGCTAATCTACTGTATTGAGTGTATGAGTGCTTTGCTAAGTATAAATGTCTTGAGTTTTTKGATGCCTAAATTAATGATGTTATCTAGAAATAGTGGTATGAAAAGGGTATTCTATTGTGTTTAACAATAATTTATGGCTGAACATGTCCTAGAAGGCACTCTTCTCTGTGATAGTTTRGTCGTGGTATAGTTTTGTYGTTGTTCTGGTAAGTACATCTCAGAGTGATCATGCCCTAGTGAAGCTCCATGAATTCGCAAACTGTTCTCATCTTTGAAGCAGATTTTTGCAGTMGAATCTTTTTGATAGCAAGGAACACAGTAAAATGGCTGAAGGGCAAAGTGATCTTGTTTGTGATGAWTAGCCTGATACTCTATGCTCTGAAATCGTTGTGGACATTTCCTGTTTTCAAAGCACGCCAAAGGRTAGATAGCATAGAAGTGCTCTAGGTACTCATCACGGCTTCTGAAATACTGACCACAYGAACAGTTGCACTTTTTGTGACTGTTTTTCATGTGAATTTCTTTTTGTTCGATGCAGGAAAAGTTCTTTTGAGGGCAAAACTGACAAACCATGTCATCACTGATGTTCTTTGTATAATTGTATTCATGAGATTGTTGAAGATGAAAGAGCAGCTGTCCCTCAGTACAAAAGACGATTTCATCGCTGCATAGATTACARCGTGTCTGATTCTGCAAGTGTGTACGAAGTTCTTTTTCRCTAGCAAACCGTTTCGTATTGCACTCTGAATTGCTACAAAAATAGTTATGTTGRGAGTTGAAATGATTTTCTTTTTCACTTGGATTCAAGAACACAATCTTACACCAAAGACAAACATTTTCTAAAACTTCCAAAATRGTTTTCTCAGTACCATTGATTTCTTGGATTGGAAGCTGCGGGTTGTTGTTTCGAAGAATAYCTATTAATTCTTCGTACTTTCGATCTCGATCACAAACAAGATAGATGACAAGTTCTTTCTGGCTTGACAGATTATTGATTTGTTGTACAAGCCATGCACAGATTGCAGTGTCTGATGCATATGGGCATGTTGTACACGTGATGTGATGCTTGACCCATTGTGGTGGCAGTGCATTTGAAGGCGTATCTTTACGCATAAATACATGGACTTTTACAGACTCCATCGCTTCTTTGCAGGAGAACTGCAATTGTTCGTCGATGAAATTGCGACAGTTGCTTTCCCAGACCATGAAGAAACTTTTCAGTTTGTCATGTCCTTGGTTGTCTTCTTCCGCACTTTCTTCCTCAAGACTTTCATCCACAGGGTCCATCCCTAAGGYAGTCATATCGATTTTCTTCTTTATGTAAATGTTTTTCAGTCTCGGACTTTAGTTGCAATGGAATGACCTGGCAATTTCTTCACATTGAATAACCAAACATCAAAGTAAACACAAACATACTGGTGATATATCGATACATGAAGCRATATCATATATAGACAGTAAAATTCATAATTAGTACCAAACGGCTTTCAACATACCATCATAAGGTTTCAATACAAAATACCTTGATATACCATAGTTACCTTCTAATATACTGTCAAAAAATTCATGGTCATGATATATGCCCGCTATTGTTTGTTTAACCGACAATGGCGTCTAGATCCTTTCAGTACATAGACGTTCCATAATCAGCGTAAGTTTAAAGAAAAATGTCAGCTTTATTTGTGTAGGGATAGACATACTAATGTGCAGTGTGTCAAATTCAGTACATTATGCTACATGGATAATCCCACTCACTGAATATGGTGGATTAACCGACGGACAGTTATACAATCTATTTGCGGAGGGGGGTTGGATGGTAGCTGTTCCATGTATATGCTTTTCACCGCAAAATAATTTAGCTAMATAAYTGAWGTCATGTGATGTGTTTTGAACACCGCGTCCGAGCTGAAATGATCTCAATGTCTGGACCAGCCAGYGCATAGAAATTATAGTCATCCGAGTAAAACTTCCTCGTACTTATGACCCATTTCTTTAGCGTGTTCTAATAATTCTAATTTTGTCTTTAGACAAACTGGACGTGCATATTTGTAAACACATGCCATGCATATATACGGAAACTCACAACGATGCCAAGTCACGTGRTGCTGTACCTGTTCTTTTGTTGTTTTAAACCGCTGTACACATTTAGGCTCAGCAAAGCATGAAAGGGGGTAGTGACTATAACGGAAGTGTACWACTGACATTTCATCATTACGCTGGTCCATAGATGAGCCGGCKTTACGGGCTGCGTTTGTCCTGCGGATATGAACATTGCGCATGTGCTCATCTCGTTTGCTGTGACTACAGAATATCAAACTAGTGTCACATATATCGCATTTTYGTTGCCTTRCAATGTGATCTCTGAGTTCCGATTCATCAAAAAAACCGTCACCTTTTTTACTTCTCTCGCAATTTGGGTTGTTGCATAGCAACCAGTGAACTCCTCTATCGTGAGCTTCTTTCTCTAAATTGTCTTTAAAGACTATCAAACACAAATTGCACACATARTCCAGGTAGTCTGTGATAGAAGTAGTCTCTGAGTTTACAGCTACTATGTTTGCTTGTGTATTTGTTTTGATTAGAGATATAAGCTCCATGAACCGTGCGTCGTTACTGGACACTAAATACAGCACAACATTGGGTTTGGCTAAGAATCTCCTCTCGTTCATCAAAGATGACATCATCGTTACCCATGAGGCGTCCGGGGAGTCTGTTGTAGTGGAGTGAGTTGAAATCCATTTCCAGTCTTTGAGAACAAGGCTTTCAGGGTTTGATCTGTTATGGAAGACATTGATTCGTATCGTCTTTTGAGCACCTGCCGTGAACATGATTTGATCAGAGCTTCTGAGAAACTTTGAACCGCCATTCTCCCARTCAATATAGAAATACTTTAACAACTGACTTGTCATTAAAAGAATATTTCATTCAACACAGGTGACGAGTAACTGAAACAACGTAGCCCTAAATATTCTCACCCAACGGAACTTAACGCAGCGAGAAAAAGATGGTGTGTTTRTGTAAGCTGTTCCTAGTCAAATATAAATTGAGATCAGTTCTAGCCAATAGTAATAAGGTGGTTTCTACAAGGCGATAAGTTCAGAAAATYCACTCCTAAACCAACGTGGGGCGATAAAGTAGTGATAATTACTACTMGATATTATCAGCCAATCAATCAAACCTATTTTATTGGTATACTTCTATGTCATAGATTTTCAAATAAGTTCGTTTTCAATAAACACCACATCGAATATAAAACCTATAGAGATATTAACAATCCTGTAYGAACTCTTTGCGCGTGATTGTTTGTGATGGTGTTTTTATTGAAGGAGAGTTTTTAGCATCAGTCGATATTTCAAATTTGATTGATTACTATTTTTGTTTTTGGTGTTTTTATACTTTGTTAGACACAACACATCATGTTTGTATAGCTGCGACCGCAATACACAGTGGCAACATGGTTAAAATAGCGCCTGAATCCAAGAAGCAATTAACACTTTTCAACTACCTATATTAATAATGCTTCACGCTATTATTTTCTTAAGCTTGTTAAACTACAATATACTAGTGCGTCATCAACTCTTGATTTATATTGACAAAATTCTGCATCCACTTTCGTCCCGAAYAGAAGAATCAACGGCAACGTTTCTCRTGTTRAATGTGTTGSTGATAAGAACAAAGAATAAGTGAGAATCCGCTAAAGTGAGAATAATATCACAGAGTAGTTGCCTATACGATTTTGTGAAGTCAAGAAAGTACTATAAGTAGCGTTGTCAAGGTGATTTGGCAATGTCGATCAAAAGCCTTCGACACCGATTACACCTGCCGCAATCTGATGCGGCAGTAAACACACCACAAATGTTCAAACAGAAAGCTCAGCAAGGCGTTATAGTGAAGTTCGCTCAACTTGGTTGGTTCTAGAACTAATCTTCTGTCTCTTGTATAATTATGGACATGAAATAATAACGTGTTAAAATATACAAAACTGTTATCGGTGCAATAAGCGAGAYACACGACAAGGACTATACTGCTCTATACTAAACTCCGATCTTGGACGTGATGAACGAACGAAAAGTGTTTTTTATGGAATGGRCACCGAACAATGCACGTTTTATCAAAGGTATTTCGATCAGCTCATCRTTGACTCGTTTTGTAACTGTCCACATTTTTTACCGTCAAGACATTCCCAGCAGTCATCTACCGAAATATAAACCATGGCTTTTCAAACATCCGGTGTCGAAATCGAAAGCCAATGAAGATGGAATCGTGAAAGCAATGGAACTCTATATATTGCGATATATGTTTAGAATTAAAARCAGTAATAAATTAATGGAAAGACGACAAATGATTAAAGCCTTTATAGTCTCTTGGGCTGAACGCACTCACAAACTCTTCGATACTGTTGCCTTGGAAACACCTGGCGTCATACTGGAACTAATTGACAGCAGGTCTGTATCTTTGCTAGATCTTATGGACTTTAAATGCGATATCTGTAAAACGGCATTCAAAGAATATTCCGAGGTCATTAAGCATRATGGRGATGTGCACAGTCACGTGTGTTACAACATGGATTGTATCCATAGCAGCAARGAGAATTGCTTTGAGAGTGAAAAGGAGTTGCAGAGRCACTTGTCTTTTCAAATGAGGTGTGAATTCTGTCCTGGAAGGGTATTTTGCGTCAAGGASCAATTACAAACACACATGAGAGAGACACATAAGGAATGTCACTGTCCATGTGGAAAATACTTTGGAAACAGGCAAGCTTATTTGGACCATTTTTTCTTTCACTACCCGTCACCAAAAAGTATTATGTCTAGATATAGATTTGAAAATATCTCACCACAAAAGAACAAGAAACTATCAAATCGCAATTTAAAGGTGCAGCAAAAAAGCGATAATGAAGAAGTAGATAACTCCTTGATTGATGAGCCTYAAAGTCCGCTTGATATTGCAACAAGCGATCTGATAGTTAATGATAAGAATGATTGATAACTCTAATTTAGTCTTCGACTTGTATCGTGGCCGTCATTTACCATCTGCATCGTCATGCTATAGCTATATCATAGTCCATATTACTATGGTTATATATATTATTTGTTTGGCCAAAAGAAGCACTCTTGATTCAGTAAAATTATTAATCCATTTCTTGGGTTGGTTTCAAATCTACTTTCGATAATCTATAGTTGCCTAATGATGTCCTTGTAATAATAGGAAAAACAGGTATTAACAATATATTAGAATGTATTGCTCTGACCTTAATACGTCGCCTGCAGTATTTACTCAAAGGATKGTAACTGTTTCCATTTTTGGTGCGTCAGTTCCCTGTGATACTCTGCTAGTAGCCGCAACAACAAATCAGCTCTCTCATGCGCACTAAAAAACTGCATGCTAATAGTGAAGTTGACAAGATTAAGCACATCAATAAAGACCATAAATAATAGTTAAAGTGAAGTTTGTTGGTTGACTGGAGGGGTTGGCGGAGTTGAATACACACTGGAGAAAAAGGAAGGGGCTATGCACGGGTTCTCCTCATGAGGGCGTATAATGTGTTGAATTCTACCCTCAAGGCAGTCCTCCAGCTAATGTGTCATGAGTATTCGAGACGTAATGGATATCTGAGATGATGGCAGTTGCCCGGGGGAACTCCCTTATAAAAGGAGCGGGAGTCCTCTTCAGTAATTCTGAAAATGACCCCTAAAAGAGACCTGTATCATTAGATGATGGGCGTGGCAGTGCTGAAGTTTCACCCCTATTGAGGGACCAATTAATAAGAGGTCATTTTGCATTGGTTTCCCGATTGTGTAAACCCTAAAAGGGACTACAAGGACCCCCGCCCTTTTCAGGGATCAATATGATATTTTCGATTATTTGAGATATTTTTGATGTGATGGCCGTCCTCTATTGAAAACTACCACGATGCGATCAGTGTCGACGTTKTTGCTTCAATAACCAGGCTCAAGGGAAACAACATATAATCCTTTCGTTTCCCCGAAGCCTCGTCTTCATCACATAACTGAAGTATTGGGCTACCTGTGTTAGTAAGTGCAGGTCAGCGGCAATATTGGCGCCATGATTCAAGATGGCTGATGAAGTTATAGGATGGGGGTTTACAGAGCTTAAATTAGAGAGAAGACGACCTTCGTAAGTATATCAACAAGATTTTCATTTGATATTTGATTAGGACTATGCACGGGAATAAAGTTTGATTTAAATTATTGGTCGTAATGTGATTTTTTTGCATATAGGAAACGACAAACTACAAAAAGACCTTTTGTTATTGTAAAGAATTGGGAATCTAGTACAGATAGTAATGCTACTCCARTTAAGGTAGTTTATCAGTTTACACAAATATATTATTTTCAGATACATTGTAATTTAAAAGCTTATTGTTCTGTTCAGATCTCGTCCTGTTCCCAGGATATCGCACCATCTCCACAGTTTCCTAAACAGCAGTGGCAATCAAAGCGAACAGCGAATGGAAATGAAAACAGAAATGTTGACAATACCGTTGAAGATGGCCTACAAGAAGGTTTGTATAGGAACCGTTGTCACCACTGAATCTTCTATGTGTGCTGTGATTGAGCCTATTTGTTAATTGAAAATCTTACATGTAATAAATATGATATGAGAACATATGTCATGACTCTCAACAGTAGCTTTGTTAATCACCATTAATGTTAATCAATAATCTGCATTTTCTTGATAATGCAGTTCCACAAYCACCAACTGCTTTCACTTAACCAGCTTGATGATAGTCTCCTTGACGGTTCCCTGCACCATCTTGAAGGCTAGCCGTACCTTTACATTGAAGCGAGACAAACATTGAGTGTGCAACCATAAAAACTTGTGACTAATTGTATGTAGGTGTGACAGAAGGTTTCTGTCATTGCACGCTCAACGTTCATCTCACGATGTAAAGGCACAGCTAGTACCTTTCAAGATGGCACAGGGAAGAAGACTAGTCATGATTTTGTATATTGAAAGATTCTTTAAAATTTTCTCTTTTGTAGTGGAGCCACACAATTCCCTTTCTATTGCTTATGACAGGACAGAGTATACTAGTCCAGTTATTGATGGTACTAGTAATACAACAGATTCTCTAGCTACTACAAGCCCAGCTATTGATGCAGATCATAACAAGTCTTCAAGTCCTACCATTGCTGATCTACCTTTAAATAATGGCTCAATTGATGATGACAATTCTGTTGTGTGTGGAAGTGCTTCTGTGTCAGTCACATCATCTAAAATTGAAGCCACAAAGCAACAGACTTCAGGTTTAATAGTATTAAATGTAACTTTTTGAATTTTTATGGTCCATGTTTCTACACTATGTTACCTTTCAGTCACACAAAAGCATCAAAAGTTTATTTCTGGGTTATTAACAATTAGTGTTGATAAAAAGAAATCTTGTTTTTTTAGATGCCTCTTTTTCAAGAGAACATAGCAAACAACGAAGAAGACAGCAGCCATCTAATAAGTCGCATGTAAGAGCAAAAGGATAATTGATTGAGTGGAGAAAAGTTTGGTATGTAAGACTATAATAGAAAAATGTCTTGACAGGAAGAGAAAGAGGCACAGTCTTTTAGAAAAACACGAAGCAGGAAAAGAAAGCAGGAYGATGCTATTCATGATGACTTGATGGGAAATCAAGACATTTACACTGGTAGTTAGTGTAATTTATTCATTGTTTTTAAGTTCATTCTAAAATATATGAAAAAAAATCAGGACAAAAAGGTTTATAGATTGTGATGTTATTTGATGATTTCTTGCAGAAAACAGGTTTGTGAGAATCTTCAATGCTGACCAAGGAAGAAAAGTATCTGTTTCAGAGATTACTGACCTRGACGTGATACTRACAGCAATTGAAGAACAAGCACTGCAGCACAGGCTAGTAGTTGATATATTTATTCCTTTGCAGTTTCATCCATTTCTCATTTTCAAGTTCCTTTTYCTCTCTCATTATGAAATATTTAATGCATTCAAAAGAAATCAGCATGTGAGCAACAATTGTAATAATCTTAATCTTACAGGGATGAAGTTGAATCTGAAACTGAAAAACAAAGCATCAAAGAGTTTTTTATTCAAACCAGGAAGTCAGTTGGGAATTGTGTAAGTATTCAGCCATTACATCTTGAAAAGAAAACTTTTCTTGATTTGCTGTTTTGCCTCATAGATTGGCCTTCAAAAGGAATTGAAAGAAGTGAAATCAGATCTAAGGAAGGTGATTGTTAAAGAAGTACATAAAAACATAAAACATGGAAGAGATCATAACCAGACAATGGTCACAGTATCAACAATGTTTTGCCAATTATAATTATTATATATACCTTATTTTAGGCAAAAAKCAGATTAAAGAAATGTAGAAGTGARCTGTTTGAAGTCCAAAAGAAGAGAACAAGGTAGAAGTTCTTTCCTAATTAGTTAATTATAACCAAAATTGTAAAATATTAGCATCACTGCAAGTAGTATCATGATTTACAGCAGAGTATTTTGAATAATGTCACATACTGGAGTTTGTTTGCGCGGGTGAGATTGACAAAATGTCAAATTAGGAGGAGTTACCCACAGTCCCATGATAAGTGGCATCAAAGTGAAGTAGTGAGCTGTGTGACAACTATGATGAATAAGACTGAGTGCATAATTTTTAACTTTGTGTCACCTTTGGTCCTATCTGGAGCAACGATACTAGTCTTCTGGTATGATCTCATGAAAACATCTGAAACTCTGCATGAAACACTGTCRTTCRACCAAAACCTGGCCTACCTGCTCTGCACACATCTTGAGTAATGAAAGCCTTAACTCAATTCAGTTTCAGTGGAAACTCATTCTTGGGCATCATCACATGATGATTGACATTACTTTTTTTCAAAACACAATAGAATAAACTTAAGAAAAATAGAATATGAACTAGTATTTAAATGTAGGGTTAAAGGAAAGTTGGTTAAACTGCAGAAAGAAAAAACTGGCAAAAGTGCAAATTACCAGGTGAGATTATGAATGACATAAAAACATTATTATTATAGAATGTAAATGTCAATAATTTGTTTTAAAATAATGTAATAATTTGAATTTCTGTTCAATCCAAAGGATTTGTCTGAAATCAATAATTTTGTGAAACAAATGAAAAGCATACAAAGAAAATGTCCCATGAAGACTGCTAGCAGTAAAGAAACAATGGTTTGTTTGCAATGATTTTTGTTATTTTTATCAGAGTATTGTTTGTGTTCACTATTCTGCTAATTTGATGTTTCTCTAATCCCCTCCTTTWCCCAAATCATGAGTTTTTACCTTTGCCTAATATTATTATCCCTCAGTACTTTTAGTTTTTATAGTCATCAAAYCAAMYCACCYTTCTTTTCATTTTTCCATCCATCCATTTATTCATTTGTCCATCAATYTTGTTATTCATGCATSTATTTGTTCATTCATTCATTACATATTCTATCTATCCACGCTACTTTCCTGCCTTTCTATCAATGGTTTGTTTATATTGTGGTGTTTCCATRGTTTCAGAGTAATCTCCCAAGTGTGATGTGTCAAGTGCAAGCATTGCTTGTATCAATGAAACGACTTCAAGCATTGMACACAACATTTRARGGATGGCTAAAGACTCATTAGCATCTTTGGATTGAGTTATATAAACTTAATGATATAGCGAAACTGAAACCTGATCTACAGTTCTTTTTATACTGGCATTTGATACACGTCTGCACAYCAACTGGAAATCAGTGTTTTTTGTACATGTATCTATTTGTAAGACTTGTTAATATGGCCAGCATTCCTAAAGAAATGCAAGTATTTATGTATGGCTATTCAACCTGAATCTCTAAAATAGGCTTTTGATTAAATTATGAAAGAGAATAAATATTATGCATCAATCTATGCCTTTCTTCTTGTAATTATAGATAATGGAGTTTATGTACAGTTTAAATATTATTGTTTGGTATTGGAAATATTTTTTCCTGTTGTGCATGTAAATATAGTGCATTTTCCAAGAAATTTGATTTGTGTTCTCCAAATGTTATGTTTGAATAAATAAATAGTAAAAATCACGTGGTACTTGATTACATTTTGATAATCTTAAACAATGAAGAAACAATTATTTCCATAAAATGATCAAAAACAGAGAAGTATGCTTTTGTTAAATCATGATAAAGTATAKGAAATATCATGTTACATGATTCCAAGCTGCTACACGCGGTAAATCAAAGAACCTCAATGCCATATTTGGAATTGGWAAAACAATTAGAGCATTTGTGATTGGATGACWTGCACTTTGATTGACAGCTGTATACAGATCGAACACTTGATCGCTCTGTAGCGTCGGTCGAACATTCGAAGGTGAAACAAGATGTCTGCTCGTGGAGGAAAAGCTGCAAAAAGAGGCAAAGATCGCATGTCGCGATCTGCAAAGGCAGGCCTACAATTCCCAGTGAGTCGAGTTCATAGATACTTGCGGCAAGTGACTCATCACTACCGTATCGCATCGGGTGCTCCTGTCTACCAAGCAGCCGTGATGGAGTATCTAACAGCCGAAATCCTGGAGCTTGCAGGTAATGCTGCTAGAGATAATAAAAAGAGTAGAATTATCCCTCGACACATCCTTCTTGCCGTAGCAAACGACGAAGAACTACACAAGGTGAGTAATATAACGCTGACATCTTGGGTTGTGTACGGTTGTCTATGCTGCAGCTGTCAGCGTGCCGTCTGAATAGATCCCCTTTCGATTCTAGTATACAMTTWCTCCTACCAKGATGGAGCTAAATGCTTTGTGTATTTCCTAAATTGTTCTACTGATTTTAGCCAGTTGTACAGTCARGGAAACAAGCTATCTAGGCTAACGCATGCTCAAACATYAAGCCAAACACTTGCCTCGTGGTCTTTTGTTCCTGTCTGACTCGCGTTTTGCTGATTTTAACTCGTTATTCAGAACAGGGTTGATTTTTTTGTATTCGTCTAACTTTCAGTGTGTTAGTAAATGTAATTGTGGTTTATTTTAAACCATGCACGAGTTTAGTCGGTGGCCGTATTTTGATTTCTATTGTTTTCTAGCAGCCATGATGATCTAACAAAAGAGCTATTTTTAGACGTAACAAGTACCATGAAAAATCGACATGGTGCCCTCATTACTGTTAGATGTTTATACATTTCAATATGTACACTGGATAACCCAGCTTAATGTAAATTTGATTGACAGCTCGCTATAAGTAGTGCTGAATAGATGAGATTGGCATAATTTGGTGAAGTGAAGTCAATAAACTTGTGAAACAAATCTTGACTATTGAAGTGTAGTATTCAAATAGACTCAAAATAAAACATTGCAGTTCGAGCATAGACTACTAAGGTGTATTAGTGTGATATATATTTCACAGGTTTTTTGACTTCACTCTAAATTTTTATCACTAATTAATTACAAAATGTTTTCCTGGTTATAATGTTTGCGCTGCACATTATATTACCATTCAGCTTTCAGCATCACTTCACACTTTATGGATGGCAGTAGGTGTTATTATAAAAAGGCAACTTTGTATTTTATTGTATTGTTTGTAATATAAAGTATGATATTTACAGCTTTTAAAGGGAGTGACAATTGCATCTGGTGGTGTTTTGCCCAATATTCACCCTGAGCTTCTTAAAAAAAGAAGAGGAGGCAAACTTGTTGCTCCTGAAGACCTTCCTCCTAAAAAACCAAAGCAGACCAAAGAAGCTCCACCRGCRTCACCTTCCAAGGGAAAGAAAGCACCAGCAAAGCCTGCTCCACCTAGCAAGGGGAAAGGCAAGCCACGGGGAAAGGTAGCAAGCAAAGGCCCAGGAGAAGGCATTAGTGTCTTGACTGAGAAGGTTTTATTCCTTGGTCAACATGTAAGTGTAGATTGTCATTCTCAGTAGTTTTGCTCTTTGTCCTTAGAAATATGATGATGTAGTGCTGGTAATCAACTGATAGTTTGATGATGATAGTGTTCATAAGTTAAACATTCTCTTCCCTTATTGTGGTTGTTGATCTTCTTGTAGCTGACTGTTGTCCAGGGCAACATAGAAAACATTGAAGCCGATGCAATAGTTCACCCAACAGATGGAAAATTCACTTTAAAATCTGAAGTTGGTCAGTATCTATACTTCAYTGTGAGTTTTTTTATTTCCATGTTTAATACTTGTTGCCATACATAGGCAAAGTACTTAGTAAAATTGGAGGAGATGACCTGAAAAAGGAAATTAAGAAATTGTCTGACTCAAAGTCTGACTTTGCAGTTGAAGAAGGTATGTYTATCAAGTATGTGAAGCATGTCTGTGATTATAGAAATATAATATGGGAAYAYATCTCTTTCCCTGATCTAAGCTGCMTTATCCAAGCACTGCTGCTTTTTCAAGTGCACATACCGGTACTTTTACAAAGCATTGTCTTCAAACTCTGATATAAATAATGGTGTCAGTTGCTATATTATTATTCTTGAATTGATTGAGAACCATTGTATTATACTATAGCACAGATGACATCATACAATCTATCACATTTTTTTGATTGATCAAAGCCAATGTGTCAAGCCCTATTGTCTCTTTGTTCAGCTGTTTCAATGAAGTTACATTTTATACTTGTGCATATTATAAAATGTGATAATTATATTTTATCTTAACAAGTAAATTTCCATTTTTCCATGTATCTTCACTTTAATTAGATACTAAGAAGACGTCAAAATGTGATGAACTTTTAGATGTGAACTGCTTTTTGTTCTCATCACATTTTGACATCATCTATGTACACACACACAAAAAATGTAATTTATTTGATAAATACAATTCTTTGAGGTATTTGTGCTGGTTTTAAAAGTTTGTTTATTTTAGCTGCCACCWGCCCTGCTGCTAACATGAAGGTTAGCAAAATTCTTCATGTCCATTGCCCAACTTACAACTCTGCAGAGGAAGAGCAGTCCACAGAGAGTCTGATGAAAGCCTTGAAGAATGCGCTTGCTGTTGCTGATGATGAAAATCTTAAAACTCTTGCAATCCCATCCATAGGGACTGGGTAAGTTTACGTATCTGATGCTCCAGTCACAAATCTCGTGTTGTTTTCAGTCTTACTTTCACTTCGTGGTTGAAGCAAAGTAGTTCTGTAAAATATTAGCTATGAGAATTCAGCTTAGCATTGACAGGATTTAAGAAAGTACTACATTTGGCTCCAAAAAAGTTTTTAGTTCATACCATGTATGATAACCAGATCATATTGCACTGTGGTTGTGGATTTACCATATAGCATGAAGTTTAGATGATGTTCTGCGCTGTGAACTGTTATTAATTAACATCATATTAACTCTACTCTATTGTCCGTCATTGTAAATTCAATCAATGATACGAGTCTCTCCTCCCACCTTGATAAGGATGTCAAGTATTGTTTAAAAAACGAGCAGGAGTGCTTTATCGGGAGATATAGACATGAGGCCAGCCAAAGGCTGAGTGTCTATATCCCTGATAAAGCACGACTGCGAGTTTTTTATACTACTTCTAGAACTCCAACATCAGAAATTGTTATCATTTTAGAAAAAAGCTTAAAAATGAGAAAACAGAGATTATGCATGTTAAACTTCTACTGAGCAAGTGCATTTGTCACAAATGAAAGAATTTTGATCCCACACGTAAGAACGGCTAGTCTATGCTATACTGCATATCTGCACATTGATTCAATCTGATTTAAAACCTAGCAAAGGTCTATGATGCGACATTAAAACTGACACCTTTGCTAGTGTTGGGTTGCAATAAAGCGCTAATGACCTTCAACATCAGTTCTTTATATCTGATATAGAACTGATTAATAAAACATCAGTGCTTTATCGGGATACAAAGGTCCATCATGTGACCCAATAGTTGGATTCTGATTGGACTAATAGCTCATAAATTATTAATGAGTTCTAGAATATCTTTTATTAACTTGGTTAATTAAATAATTTCTTATTCATCTTTTACAGAACTTTCAAATTTCCCAAGGAACAGGCAGCCCAAGCAGCACTAAAAGCCATCTCAAACTACTTTGTATCAGCCATGGCATCATCTATCAGACAAGTTTACTTTGCTCTTGATGACATGGAAAGTATTGGTATATACACAATTGAACTTGCTAGATTAGATTAGAAACAACTCAACRAACAAATATTAGAATTCTTTATCAAGTGTTGATGTTTTTATGGTAAGACTACTGACCAAGACTCTTCTGTTAAAGACACTTGTATTTTTATCAGAAATACAATGATAACATGTGACAAGGATCAAAAGGATTTGGAAAAGTTGCTTTTATATACTTGGGTTTCTGAAGTAGTTACAATGTTAATATCATTTTTTTCCTACGTAGTTAAACTTAGTAGAAAATTTGTTTTTAAGCTTGTGTTTAATTCCAGTGGGCCTTAGTTAGTTTTACACTAGGTTTTATAGAGTTTAAGCATCACGTTTACGGGAAACGGCTAACGACAGAGCTGAACCAATGACCTAAGAATTAGGTAGTCATTTGAAAGAGTGACTTTTMACGATTATGGCAACTCGAAAATAACCCACTTTCGCGTTGAAACTGTAACGCTAAAAACCCCAAAAGCYGGTCAYGTGATCTGTTCTGCCGTTTGCCGTGAACGTCATGCTCAGCTCTCAGTGTTACCGCACTCTCTCATCGATATAAACGTTTTCAATTATAAGCGGAATGTAGTTTGGTTACAGCATTTTCTCCAGAAAATAACGACTATATCTTATTGTGTATCTCAGTTCMTAAACAGAAAAGAAGTTTTTTTTAAATACTGAAGATTGCTTGAAAGTCTTTCAAATTACATGCTATTAAGTATATTTATTTTGTTCTGAGTAGTTTTTATCTAGATACAGTAGTGAAAGGTGATGTATAATGTAATAGATCATTGAAAAGATGTGAAATATATAACATGGCTACTTTACATGTCTTTGTGTTATATCGAGTATAATAAAACATGTGGGACCAACCTCCGGAGTACATCCACGAGTAGACCAAAAATGGTCCAGACAAGCAAYAGTCCAGGAAGGCGTCATAAATTCAATGCGAATACCCATTTCACCATTCATGGAAAGCAGAAATCTGCCTCGCAATGGCCTTGCAAGCGTCCATGAAAGAGAAGCTCTCCCTCGTTCTCAAAATTGACGGTTTTCAGCATTCTGTAACACACCATGCAGAAGTAAGGCTTAAGACAGCCATGCTCGGTCACGTGATGATGCGCCTGCTCCTGCAGTGTTGARAAAGACTGGGGACAACCACAGACTGCAAGACAAGGAAGGATGTCATAGCCGAAGAGGAAATGTGAAGAGTAGTTAGTGTTGTCAAAGATGCTATCACACCGATGTGTTTTGCCGACAAAGCTTGATTTGTGGAGTTTCTCCATGTCTTTCGCTCGGTCTCTATGGGAACAATACGTCAAAACACAGTTGCCTAAGCAACACGTACATTCACTTGCATTTTTAGCCTTCCTGACTGACTTGAAAAACCCAACTCTGCGTTTCCCAGAGTGAGTCAAACACTCTTCAAAGTAGCCACAGAACTTTGTGTCGTGTTGTTTGAGGCCTTTCTTTGTAGCGAACACCATCCGACATTTATCACACTTGAATTCAAATTCATCCAGAATGCAAGCTTCCTCTGACAAATTCAATCTGTAGTTAGTTTCTTTAGAGGTCAAGAGCTCCACTAATTTACTAAAACATATCTTAGGTACATTAGATACCAGACAGATATCCTTTTTGTCAGGAATACTGCATCTAGGATTCTGCCACGTTAATCTTCGTACGATAGGCTCCCAGCTCGTTTTACTCGACGCTATTATTTTTGCATTTCTTGGTACATGTAGAGAACGAAAATGGGGCAAAAGTTTAGGTGGTATATCTTTTCCTCGGTACACAATGTAGATATGCACGTTCGCCTGCACTTGAGGAGTGAGGTGGATATTTTCTAAAAACGTTTCCCCGTTAGAATCCCAATCAATGAAATAATACCTTGGTATCATCTTGCTAACCGCACATTTGTCAAAGGTTTGTTTTAACCATTCCAATAAAGCCTTTGTACYTMTGTGGAGTTCCTGTTTATAATGTTACTCTGCCGATTCTCTAGTATATAGGATACTCAGTTTTGGAAACTTTTTTATCAGTTTCTTAGGAATGTTTTTCTTCTTAATTGTTTAGAGAACTTTGTTGTCAAGTACGTAGAATTTAATGAAGGTTTGTTTATTTAATGATTTATTGCGCAGCTGCTGCTTACATATCAACGTCACCATGGATTCRGTCACTGTCTCCAGCCTCTAGGGCTGAATTATTAAAATCGAGTTAATAATTTAATTACATGACGTCTATAACTGAACCAAACAGGCATCTGGAAGTGATAACAGTCGTGTAGGCTTAGAATATTGTTGTATACATGTTTTCTTTTTGTATAATTAATTTATGAAATTGAAAAAAAATTGTGATTTCCTCATGTTGGAGAGACTAATTGCAAGGGAACTCTTAGTTATCTAAAGAAGTTCAATTCGTTCTTTTTATTATAAATATCATCCTGCTTTTTGTATTGTTTGTTGTATTGCTATGACTTGGTTGTCAGAGCCATTTCTAGCGGGATTTGCGCAAACGAAAACTCTTCATCTTGATGTTTCTCCTGTTCCACGTGGTCGAGCAATTTCTCCGCAGTTTTACAGCAAACAAGATAGTTGTTCTTGTAACAGGCCATGCAGTAATAGGGATACGTGGAACCRTGAACCTGTGAATAGTAACATTGATATTATTACCAACAAAAACTACCTCTATTCAATTTTGACACCAAACAATAACTACATCRAAACCATAACGTCTCTATAATCAAAACAATATATTTCATTACTACCAGCACCATCTTAGATAACATTACCACTGATCATAATGTCTACAATACCTGCTTGTGGTGGAATGCTTGGTGTTCGATGTTAGGAAATCGTTCTGCACACTCGGGCTCCTCAAGGCATGGTAACGGTAGGTTGCTATAGAAATGCTCCATGTAATCATCGCGAGTTTCAAAGAATTCCTCGCAAGGACAGTCACATTGCTTGTGGACTTTTTTTAAATGATCGTTCAATTGCTTTTCTGAGCAGAATATTTTTGAAGGGCAAAACTCGCAGTTTTGTTGCCCATCAAGATGATCTTCTAGCTCCTTCTTTGAGAAAAATCCATTTTGTCTTTTACTTTTCTCGCAGCGTAAATTAGTGCATAAAAAATTGTGATTTTGTAGATCATGATTCCCAGCTTCTTGCTTTGTTTTGAAGATAATCTTACACCGACTGCACGAGTATGGAAAGACATCCAGTAACGTCTTCTCACCAACTTTGATGGTCTTGATGGCGATTTTGTTGAATTTCAAGATCGCTTCCAGCTCCTCGTATCGTCCCTCATCACCACACACGACGTAAGCCTTGTATCTTGTATGTACATGAGGATGTGGCCATATTTTACACTTGGTTTCTCCACACTGACAGGCAAGATGTGTATAGAAATGAAGTAYATAAGTAATAAGAGCTGTCCAGGACGCCTCGGCAGATGCCGTCAATGAAGAGTGCTTGACAATCCACTCATAACTTGGAGGTAACTTGTCTTTTGGCGTCTTTTTATTGTAAAATACGTGTACCTTAATGTCTTTCTGAGATGTTGTAAACTTGATTCCTTTCAAGAAATCTTGACTCGTTGTCTCCCAGTCTACAAAATAAACGCTAGTAGTTCTGATGCTACACATTCTCACTCARTTTTTGTCCGTTTCACACACTTCACCAAGTCGATTTAACTCAACAKATATTACAACACTAAACTATCCARTTTTTAGGTTGTCATTTGCGTGTTCTCTTTGTAAGGAGRATATTTTTTTAGWACTGTTTACAGGTCTTCATTGCTATGCGACCGATTTTCGGACGACGTGTGTAACGGTGTTTGTGGTATTCAAGAAATCAATAATGCATGGCATGAAAGTAATATAGTTGTGTAATAACAATAATATATCAATAATGAATAAAGTTTTTAATTTACAAAATACTTGTTTGTAGCCTTGTGCTTCTCCATGTTCTTCATGACTAATTGTGTTTTAGCTTCTAAAACTAAACAAGGCATTTGATTCACGCTTTATATATTTTTTATTGCTTGCTCAGCGCTGAATTTAATTTTCAATTAAGCTGTATTCTTGCTACTGGTGATTTAACGTRCARTGGTTAATACTAAAAACTGCTCCCTTTWTTCGGYAGATTCAAGTTTGCTCTGCGTGAATTTTAAAAGATGTTCAAAAATGATCGGATAACGTTTTGTAGCAAAGTCGATTATTTTGAAGAGATGACGGAATAAGGTATCGTTCGTCAGGATACTTTACAGTGTATTAACCTATAAGACACTAGAAAGCTTTGCTGATACATTAATCCTACACTGTTTATTGAAAGTCGGAGCATGTGGGATAATATACTCTTACATGACCAGCTCATGGCCACTCCCTGTTTACACTTCCACCTTTCTCGTATGATTATTGCGGCTTCTCCCCGTTCACTCCCTCGCTATGCGTCGCTGTATCAMCCTGCATAAATCTACAAGTATCCACAAACTTGAAATAGTTGCCTGTACCGCGGAGCCAAAATGATATTTGTTAGCTAAGCCGATAAATTATCCATCCTGTAAATCCTTCAAGTTTGTTCTGAATTCAAATAATCTGATTAATGTTGTTAAACGCGCTCTATATATTCGTTATGGGAATTTATCTTATACTTATGTCAACACTTTTTACTGACATCTTAACTAAAGTGTAAAGCCATCCTTTGCATTTTTTTTTTTTTTGAAGTAACACAATCATGTTTTGCTAGGGTATTCATAAACGTAGTGAAAAAATTAATTGCGCTATGCGTGCTATTATTTCCGTTCACTCTACGGCGCCGAGTCAAATTAACTGTTTATTATCTCATTTACATTCGAAACATGTAAAATTCGGCGTCCGAAACAGGTCTCCTTCAAAGGAGGAACATCCAAAGGCCTGTATATAGGTATAGATAGGATGCGGCTCTCGTATTCATCAAATGATGTTTCACACATCATTGTTAAATGTTGTATTCCAAAAGAGAGGAAACATTTTTATTTTTTGTAATATTGCGCAACAAATGTTCATCTAATACATACAAGGTATGCATCCCGTACACAAGCGTTCCTTACTAGACCTGATCGACACACCAACAACATATRTAGTCATTTTTGAAYACCCTCTATTTTGGGGGTAAAATAAATTGGTAAATCAATAGTCGAGGCGAGGTAGAGACATCAGGAATATCATTCCTCAATCAGATCACGACAAAAATCAGACTTGCCGCGAAGGAATATATTTTAATATGAGCTTTAAGATAGAAATAAAAGATGATGTCGGACCATAWTTTTGTCCAGAAATTAGTTTAGATATAAATGCAGACTGTGTTAACGGTTTCACYATGGCGTAAGAACGAACATGACAGTGTTGGTGTTAAAGACAAACAAACTTCATGGAGTCATTGACTTGTTTCTCACGGTTTGAGTAAGTTTGATTCGCTTTGGCTCTGTGATGAGCGAGCTAAACAAACAAACATCAAGGCACCTGCTCATGCAAGACGATTACATGAATTGATTAAAGCGAACCGAAACACACCTTCGTTTAATTTCTTCATCAATGTTGTAATGACACACAGAAAAAAAAAACAATCACCCTTCTGAGATACCGTCTTTTGTAATGACTGATATCGGGAGTCTGATTGTACGGAATTTTGCTGAAAGTCTTGACCGTTTTGATCGAGTGAAAGAAGCGCTCGGTCTTGCGTATGAATGATGTGTYAGAATATAATGGACCAATGAGGACCTAAATCTTTTATTTCCGATTGAAGATCACAAACCGCCGTTTGGTTAACCACATCAAAAGAGAAATAATTTAAAACAAGCGGGTTGCCAAGACATCATTTACAACCACTTGCTTTGCCGTCAAGATGACCATTTTAAGTTCTTGAGGGTCTCAGCGGGGCGCCCTTAGCAGACAATTATGGCTGTGATTACCGTTGCTGTATGATACTTTTACGTACAGTCAAGATGCCTCTCATTAACAGAATACTGTTTCACTTTAATTTCTTAGCAAAAGCAAAAAATAAAAAAAAACCGTCTCCAACGTAGGCGTAATCACGAAACGATTTTAGTTTTGTTTGTGACTTATCAGACGATCTTTCCACCCAACGAGTTATTCACTTGCTAATCCTTTGTTTTATTCAAAATTCATTTGGAGCTAAAAGTCTGACTTTTGCCGTGAGTAAAGCGTTTGTTAAAGAATTGTTATGGGCTGTAACTGATTCATGCATGGTGGTGAATTATGTCCACCTCAAGTAAATACCGAGTCATTAAATGGTTATTAGTCGATGTTAATGCGCTGTTCGCTGCAATAAATACATCTGTTATGTTCCCATGATATCATTGATTCCTCATGATTTCACATTTGTGCATCCAAGGCTTCATAACCAAAATCTAAAACCAGAGTCTTCACCGGCGCCCTCGGATCGTCTCTAGGGCATTAACTAAGATTTAATGAAACCTTACAAGCATTTCTTTCCTTGGCGGCTCCTAAAGCGCTGCACATTAACCTAAGTAATACTCTTAACACCCTAGTAATATCGCCATCGGATTATTTAAAGTTCATATAGGGCTGTATCGATATTTATCAACCGCCAAATCTCGACAAATATCACCATTGTTCATTTTAGATATTTTGGTTGGTGTCACGTGATTGGTTAATTGTGTGTTGTTTGACTTGTGTCCAGGTGATACGCTGGCCCATATGGGCTGGGACGCTCTTATTCTCACCATTGTTACTCACTGTCCTATACAGGCAGCAAAACGGCACAGCTAGCTAATGCTAATGTAGAACCTCACCTCCTCGCTACATACAGGTAAGACTGCTCCTTACGAAACTCTTGGCTTTTTAAAAAAATTTGCTGTAATTATGGAGCCATTTTTTCTTCATCAAAGTTGAAAAACTGACAGCTCTTTTAATGAGAAATGATTTATTATGTCTAGAAAGCTAAGGATCCGGGAAATAAAAGAAAGCGGGTATAGTATTTTGAGATGGTGTGCTGGTTTCCATACAGTTCACTGTTGCTTAGCGTTCAACAATGCTCAACTATTTAGAGAAAATATGCTTTTAATAACTTTAATTAATCTATTTAGCGTTAAGCTAGTGGTTTATTTATAAAACGCCCATTTTGCGGCATTGCTCAGTTATTAGCCTCACTAAAGAAACGCACTTATTGCAAGTTGATTTTTTTAATAATGGTCTCTGCATTATCGTGATCAGTCAGTACAGTCCCGAAWAATTAGTCCAAAATCAGATAGTTTTTATCCAAAAAAGATAAATCCTATTTAGATGTTTTGGTTGTATAAGTTGACTCTACGTGAAACGGTAGGAAATGTCTAGCAAGACTATGTATATAACTACATGAGAATTACCGAGACTATGTTGGTATCATATCATAGATTTTTTTTTCGCTAGTATTTTTCGTCATTTTCATTGCTTAACAAAATTGAGATTCTTTGAAGATGGCAGCTAAAGGACATCATCATCATCAGTTAAAACCTTTCTTGGTTATTTAGTAGAAACATGAAATGTTTCGAAGGGTTAGAACAAATAAGGAGACAAAAACTATTTTCCATGAGACAAAAGCAGTGTTTATCTTCAAAATCAGTCACGGACAATAAGAAAATTGCTTGATTGTGAAATGTTGTTTCCTTGCATCGTCCTCCCTCCCTCCCACTTAAAACAGTATCATCTCCCAAATTTTCATCTTTCTTATTTGAAAATAACATTTTATTATTAAATGAAACCATGGGTTCTAACCAGCATCCATGAGTAGTGGATATATTCCTGTAAATGCTGGCGATGAATTCGATTTAAATATTCAGCATTTTGAAAGTGACCGGCTGATGAACGGGAAATGACTTTGAATAAAACAAGAATCTACAAATGTTTTTAATTCCTGCTTGACGTTTTACTCTCTTTGAAATCTTTTTTTTTTCTAATAATGAATTTCAGTTTTGTATCATAATTGTGGCTTCTATGTCGAGTTCCTGGTTGATGGTCACACTCCATCCAAATTCGAAGTCAAAAATCATTTAAGTAACWTTGTTTATCCATAAGTTTTTATATTTACTTACATCTTTAATATAAAACGAATTTTGAGTCACTTAATAAATGTTTCTTTGTAATACATGCTTTTGGTTAATAATCAGTAGTCGACAGCGAAAGAAATGAGCCATGCATTCAATATCAGAGCAAACCATCCTGATAAGAAACTGTATCAAAATATTCAATATTCAAATAGTGTATTAGTTCCTAAAAGCCTTTATAATGTACTTGTTTAATAATTACAGCATCCAGGGGTTAATTTCCGCCCCGCTAAGCAATTACAACCCAAACCCTAACAATATTGTACTGCGCATGGTTTCGAGGGAGCGGCTCTTAGAGTGGTCTACGATCAATGCGTGATCAATCATCATATGCAAACGRCAGTTACTCTTGTTTTGTGTGTTTAATAGTTAAACAAATTATTCCTTTTATTCATTTTTGTTGTATCTCACAATACAGTGTCAACGGACGGTTGACGGTTTTTCTATGTTTCGGTGAAATACCGAAAAACCCGTTAGATTGCAAAGTAGCATTGCATGTAATTAAGAAAGGTTGATTAGTGCGCGCGGAATGTGTATCATCATCAAGAAATGAAATCAAAATCTCATTGTTTAAGTATGAGTTCTGATTTTCATGTCAAAGTCGAATGATAGCTGGTCGCTGTATCTTTTCGCAGTAGGAAAACTAATTCAATGCGTGCTTGATGTTATCGTGTTAAGATAGCCAAGATCTCGTATCAATCTCTACAACCAAATTACAATAAAAGTCTGGGAAAAACTGAGCGTATTGCCAGGCTCGCGTAGATCACTATCGTAGTGTGTAACACATCGCTCTCTCTTCGAACAGATTAACCACTGGTTAAGTGTTTTATGCCTACATCAATCCAGAGGAAATGAATTGTTTTTGCTCTGCTCATTTATGAAAAGATAAGAATGTATTTGAGATTATTGTTCCTGTCTCTGGTTTGCAAAAAGTTCGACTGATATAGGATTCGATTTCATTCACTAGTAGTCGYGTAGCCATAAACTCTGGCCAATTATACTACCTTTACACTGGTAATGAGTCGCTCGCTTTAAACACTTGTATTAATGAGCTAATGGTTCACTTAAGGTACTGGACAAAATGGATCCCAATGAGGTGAAAGTGATCAAAGAAGAAAGAATGACTTCAGATTATGAAGAAGAAGAGAGTGGACTAGAGCGAACAAGTGCCCATCTTGAAAATACAAGTAAAAATTGCGAAAAATGTTTTTTTTGTAATTTATGTGGTTTTAAAGCTATATAGCTATTATAAAAATCTAAAAATGGATATGTATAAATTGAACAAGACGAACTATAAAATTCGTCCAACAAATGAACGCCGTGTTTGTTGTGCTTTTTCAGTCATCTCCGAGATAGGTCGTTTAGGCGCAGCTTTAAATAATTCCTCTAAATAGATATTCTACATTCCTTGAACTAGTTTTCCTTGCTCACGAGCCGAGTTCGACAATTGACACTTCTGGTACGTGATGCATGCCGGTTCTATCCAAGCCCAGAGCAATTTTTGTTTATATAGTTCCTTTGTTTAAAACTTTTTGCTTTTGTTTTGTAGATCCTATCCGTATAAATGGCGCTGAAATAGTCAGTAAATTTAACCACGCCTTGGCCTCTATCATTACTACAACAACCAGGTTCTTACCAGATATCCCAATCATACTACTCTTAGAAATAAACCTGTATTTTATTATTCTGTATTAAGGTAGATAATATAGAGGTATCGATCACTGTGAGTTGCTGAGCTACTAGACGATCTAGTTACTATATGCATTGACCGAGTCATCCAGCGTTTAGAAGCTCATTCACTATTACAGTCAATAATATATCCACTTTTTCATTCTACACAGACTATCAACGGCAAACAGTTCTGATGAAAATCTAACAATGGTGTCTGGTCTTCCTCATCTCATCCACAAATCAGGACGTTTTGTGTAAGTCATCCATTCAGTGTTCCTATTCTTTCGCCTATATTTTTGATTTATCTTTCCAGGTTCTAGTATAATAATAGTTTGCAGTTTACTAATGTACTGCAGTGCACAATCTTTTTCATGAAGTTAATTTGATATGCTGATAGATGTTTTRTATTTTACTGACACAGGTCTTCGCTGTGGTTCCCTGATTCGTCTGTACAAAGTCCAATGTACCACCATTCCTACCAGTGCGTCCCCAATCCACCGCAGAACACAACACTCGTCCATACATCCACAAGCAACCTTCAAAATGTAAGATATGATAAGAATTATTGTGCTATAATAATGATTATTAAAGCTTGTATTCATCATCAGCCTTCAGAAGACTACGACGAGTTTAATGAGTGGGTTGATGGTTCTTGCAAACTCCGCTACTCAACGTACAGTCGTGAATCGCAGGCTCACATCTCTGGCTGGGCCATGAAGTACACTAATAACCACAACAAGTATGTGCTAAAGAAGACGTGTGTCGGTGTTTTGTTATGTAGTGAGGACTGCACACTTCCTAATGGTTTGAAAGTTGTGGTGCGACCAGCTATTTCTGATAAAGGTAATAACTAAACACTGCTGCATGTGATTAACACGTCCATCATCCCTCCATCTGTCAAGTTTTCTTATGCCATTTATTATTTACGTCTTGATTTGGTGTGTGTGTTCATCTTTCCACAGCTTTGTTTTCGTAAAACCAGCTGACCATGCCTGTTTATTTAGTTAATAAGCCGTGTTCTTAAAAACATTTATTGTTAAGTTGGCATAGTTATTCTTACAAGAGTTTATTTCAGTCAGAGAAAGACAAATCGGTCAAACGTGCCCAAATGCATCTTGTAATGGTGTCCTCTCGCATAGAAAGTGTACAGGTAATGTCATGCATGCTGATTGATCATTCAAATTGTTATGGATTTRTAGTTTTCGTTGATTTCACATTTAGGTAACAATGGATATCCTGTCACTCATTTCTGGGTCCATCAAGAAGACGGGATATATTTTGAGTCCAAAGGAACGCATGATCATTTCAGACCCCAAGCGCGCAGGGCCACACCCGAAAGGAACCATAATCGTGGTCGTACAGCAAGTCCTAAGCAAGAAGGACCATCAGGTGGAACAGAGGACGGCGGCAAGGTAACTTGGCTCATTTGTCTTGGCTTATTTATACTATGTTATAATTAATATAGACTGTGAAAGCTGTAAAAGTAACGTTAGCAGTTCAGCGACTAAGTGACATGCAAAAGAAACTTGGTTTCAGCTCTTGTGTATATTGATAATTAGGTACAAATTCACGTTGAACACTTGGAAGTGACGATCAGAGGCCCATTTTTGATGTTTGAAATTTTTTGTATATTAAAAAATTATTTATCGATTGAGTTAGTTACATAGGAAGACCACTCCCTGCTAGCTGTGTAGCGTGCTTTTATCTGATATCACTGTGCTGTATCTATTAGACCATTAGTGGTCCACCTTTTGAATATTGATTGTTTTTTATCAAGGATCGAATGAACACCGGCCGTGAACGATAAATTCTTAATGTCACTTCCTGTTATTGTGTCTCTAATGTGACAAATACTGATTAACATAAACCTACAATGAATACACACTACGCGTAAATTGCTTTCTGATATTCACAACAATTATTCTTAATCAAAGTCTTACAGCT